AAGCGCAGTAATCCCAACGTGTTTTCAGTGTAGGGCTTTTTACCTTCCAATTTCTGAACCAGCTCTTGTGGAAACTGCAACAAAAACATTGGTTATGAAGCGGATTTTAGGAATCTAGACATTTGATATTTGATGTTACAGTCACCTTATTTTTCCACTGCTTAAAGGATCCGTCCACAGCACATTTTTCTACAGAATCAATCAGCTCCTGTTCAGCCTTTTTATAGTTTGCGACATCATCTCTGTTACCGATCTTTCTCAAGTATTCAGTTTTCCTGGAAAGGAAATTATTAAAAATAAATATAAACAATAATAAATAAATACAAAAAAGCAGCATTAATGAGCATTTACATTTTTAAGGAGAAGTGTGTAATAAAAGGATTTAGCATTAGCAGAACATTTTAGCATTAATGCTTAACTAGGTTGATCTGGGATGATCAGCTGTGGCTCACTTTGTTCTAACATGAACATCTGTATCCCTCTTTGACAGGCAGAAATCATAAAAAAATGTTTTTTATTAATTGTCAATAATTCCCTCACTTTTCAGAAGTCCAGAAGAAGGGATGGTTTAAGCATTCTTCTACTTTGGGTCTGTCCTTTGGGTCTTTGTTGATCATCCACTCAATGAGATCCTTTGCCACCACATCTTGAACATGATCCAAACTGTACTTCCCATAGTAAATGTTGGACTCGCATTCAAAGGATTTGCCAAATGGATGGTGGCCTCCAGAGAGGATATAATAAACCAGCATGCCTGCAACCTTAATAATAACACATATTATCAGTTTCGGTATGTTTACCAAGCCATTTTTCAGTTAATTAAGTTTGTGTTCAGACTTTACCTGGATGTCTGTGCTTGACTTGTATGATATCACAGATTCTTCTGCTAAAGTCTCTCGGGCCATCCAGCATTTGGTTCCTGCACTGCGTGTACGTAAAGTTGTTTGGCCTTTGAGTAAGCGTCTGCTTATGCCAAAATCAGCTAATCTTGCCCTCCCGGTAACATCTGCAGGAAGAATCATGTAAAATAAAATCCTACCTGGTAAATATTGTAGGGCTGCCACAAACGATTATTTTGATAGTCGACTAGTCACCGATTATTTTTGCGATTAGTCGACTAATCAGATCATGCAT